GTGTATTTTAAATGTTTAATTAAGAAGTAAAAACCTTACAGCGTACACAGATTCAGATTCTGAGCTGATCACGAGGAAGAAAAATCACCCATTTTTCGCGCAAAAAAAGTGATTTTTAACTCTCGAAACCTGTTTTTATATGTTTTAAAGTCGTGCAATGTCTAAGTTAAGCAGGAACACATCATTTTATCTCATTTTTTATTTATTTTTTAAAAAATTTAAAAATCGTTTGCCCAGCCTACTGGTAGTATATCGTTGACTAGGGTATTATACTATTATACTATGAATGAGTCCCTGAGGCATATCGTTCAAGTTTCGGAATTATAAAAAAATAAATCTTTGATGATTGCATGAGCGAAAAAGGTACCTCTTCAGTGAATCTGACAAACAGCTAATGTTGCTTAAAGAAGTTAAAATCAATTTGAGTGTACTGTAGCTCTCATGTAATTGAGCAGAAAGTCACCTTGCTCTTACAAACTGCTCTGTTAGTGTTTGTGTTAAACTCTGCACCCTTCTGAATGGATTTTTATCACCTTTATCACCCTTGTCTGTCTGGGGCGTGGGGGTGTATCCCTTCCACAGTTTAACATCTGATATATCCTCAGTAAACCGAGAGACTAAAACCCGCTATCGATAAAACAAAGGAATAAGTAATAGGTTTATTCCATGCTGAAAACAGAAGAAAGGAAACACAACATTTCGGCTGTGGAGCCTTCTTCGGGTGTGTCAAAGAGTAAAAGACTTTGATGCATAAAATGTTTATGAAGAAAGTGGAATACTGATGTGTACTTTTTATTTAAGCTACCACTACCAGCCATATACAGTATGTATTGTATATTTATATTCCTAAATTAATATAATTTATGATGATATGACTTTCAGGGATGTTATGCTCCTCTTATTTTTATGCTCAGCTACCAACATTTTCCTTTAGTTGTAAAATTCCATATTAGTATTCCATATTAAGCGGTTTTAAACATGCACGGCAGAGAGATTAAATGAAGCAATCATTTCACTAACAACTAATGCACCACAAGTGTCACCTGTCGATCATCTTTGGCCAGCAAATCATGTACCGTACATATAGCTCAAAACCGGGGTTTTACCGCACATTTTGAATGGCTACATCTGTATATCATATATATAATCTTCTTGGGGCTGATTTGTTTTTAAGGAAACATTATCCTGATATTACCCATTATCAATTATTTATTGTAGACAATACTTTGAAAAAAACATCTCCTGCAGTATGTTTCTGTACAAATCTGCAATATTATTGTGAACAGGGTGTCTGATTTGCAGCAGCTTTTTATTAACACACCTCTCTTAAAGCTCTACACTTTTTAAGCAACATGTAAATACATTATTACAAATTCTTAAAATCAAATTTAAATTTACAAACTGCTATTATACAGTATATCTGAGACAGCATATAAATAGATGAATAGCAGAAGAATATTTAATTCTGAAATAAGTTCTGTATTATCTTTCATATAATATGTGGTACAAATAATCAAAAACTGTAAATATACACTGGAGGCTAAATTTGATTTTTGAAGATGAGAGACAGGAACAAGTGATCAGTGTCACCTTTGAGCTATGTTCAAACTACAAATAAAAGGAGAAAAAATCAGACGTTCATTCACGACATGAATATAAGATGAACCCAACTTTCATAATAATTTTTAAACTTTTGTGGTTTTATAAATCAAACCGTATTGGCTTAAACAGTAAATGTAATTTACTGCTCTGTCATTAAAATTGAATACCTGCAACCAGAAGCACCAATTAGGATGTTGTCTCAACAGTGTTTGGTTAACAGGGTGGGAACTGCTAATGGGATTTAATCAAATAGAGAAATCAAATACTAAATTAAATTCATTGGAATGAGTTTTCGGAAAAAAGATTTCAGTGCCAGTCGATGACAAATGTGGACATTTAGGAATATCTGGAACAGCTAAATATAAGCACTTTGGTGTGTTACATAAGTAAAAAAAATCAGGAAAAATTTATTTAAACCAGTAAAATCTAGAGTATTGATCCTCACAGTAACAGGGAGCCACAGACAAATATTAACTTATTTTAAAAAATCAAAGAAGTTGTTAAGTTAGTCATTAAGAACTCAAATAGCTAGAATAGAAACCAGAATAATCTGGTTACTTAGTAGGAGCAGGACTGAAGATTGTTGATCTGTTGTATGTGAGATTATCATCAATATTGACTAAAATGAAAAAAAATTATAGTAAAATAAAGTATAAAAGCATTAAGATATGTGGCTTTATCCAGATGTTCCTATTTCTGAACCACTTCAGTGATCAACAGAGACTCTCATGTACTAGTTTATTATATATACACTAATATTATGTCAAAACTGAATATAATATTTCTTATCAATTCTGCTGCTATGGAGTTTACTCTCAACAAACAACAAAACAAAAATCCTATCAAATTCTTATTGTGATGCTTTCTGCATTTCTGTTTTTTTAACAAAATCAATTAAGTCATTGTTACTCCTGATATAGTCCTGAGGAAGAACTTTAAAGAAAAGAATAGCTTTTAATTCAATGATTGCAAATGTTGTCTGCTTTGTAATGCATAGCAAAATTAAACTATCTGCTACACAAGGCTTATTTAAATTCCCCTCTAATTCTAGTTTTCTAGAAAAGCTGAAAGGCATGGCATTTTTTTCATGACAAAAAAGTGTCGGTCTTGCTCACAAATATTTACAACATTATTTTTGTTCTTTACATTTCCCATTTTTTTACTTCAACTTTTGCCTCCATTGGGCTGTACACTAGCATCACCCTTTAGACTACTGGAATTTGCATCATGTTTATTCTTTTTTACAGTTAGTATAGATTTTCCAGTGAAATAAGGAGTAAAAAGGAAGGACGGGTTGAAAAGTAATTGTTTTAAATACCTGGTTATTCTAAACAGAAAATACTATAGAGCTTCTAAATGATGCCTGAAATTGCTATTGTAGTGCAGGGCTATTAGGGTATTTTGGTGTTCTAATCTCCAAAAAGATGTTTAGTTATTTCTGCTTCATTGTTCATTTTAAATCATGTGTGAAAAACAAAGATCGTTTAAAGTTTTCTTTCAGATCCACAAATAAGAACATAGTTACCTGAAATTCCAAAATCAAAGATTGCTAAATTCATTGTCATCAGTTCAGGAGGTCTTAACTTGGTCTTCCGTTTGAAGGTCATGAAAATGACATAGCCATTTCCTATTGTTGACATAATCCCTAAAAAATATAATGGGAAAAAAAGTTGTGGTTTGAATAGTTGGATTTAACAATACTTCCACTTCAACAACAGATTTAAAAAATGTAAGTTAAGAATTATATGATTAATATATGTTATTGTCACATATATATGTATGCAGTAGGCAACATGCAAAATATACAATTCATGAGCATTAAAAAACACTAAACAAAATGTTTATTAGTTACAAATGCTTTATTTATCCACTTTCTTGAGGAACACAAGTGGTCATTTTCCTTTTGCCAAGTCTTTTGCAAAAACATAATGATTCACCTTTAAAAACATGAAAGTTACATGATTTCATATAGTTAGGCCACAGGTGACTAGGAAGTGTCTCTAGGAATCTAGATAAAGAGTGTAACACCTGGCAATGTAAACATTTTCAGCTTTGATGCAAAAGGAATATTTGCTGAGATGTAGAGGGCCCAGATGAATGATAAATGATCAAAGCAATCATAAAGTTTACTTTGGTTTACTTCAATTAAGCACTAGGTAAATGATTATGTGTCAATCAACAATTCAGGAAGACACCATATAAGAAGATGAAGGACAATGGGCAGATAAGACCACAAAAGAAAGATCCAAGGTTAGAGTTCCTTGTTAGAGATCACCCAGGAAGCCAAGAGAGAGAAAGAGTCTTTATTATCCCTGTGGGGTGGGGGGAACAAGTTGTTTTACAGCAGCAGTGCTGGTGTACAGATGGAGAGAAGAAAAAAAAACACAGACAGGAACAACAATATACATATAAATCAAGTAAGTAACGATATGGCTACAGGTATGAGTGAGAACTTAAATCTCATTCATATTTGGAGTTGGGAACCTGTGTTCTGATGGGAGTAACTGGAAATTATTCAACAAGGGGAGTGAAGGATCATCACAGATGGATTTTGTGGGCAGGAAGATCAACACTACTGACCTTCTGACATATTTGACCAGACTCAAGGTAAGTATCTGAACTTTGTTAAGAAACTTGCTATTCTGTAGTTTTTAGGTAACTAATTTCCTGAGTTAAGAATCCCTCTTCTGGTTTGTGGGAGCATTTTAGAATAGGGAGATAGGTTCCCATTCATTTGGTGGCATCTAGATTTATAGAGACAGATATTTAAATGCATGGTCTATTCTACATAGTTGAGAAGGTATCTTATCTCTTCTTTTAGCCTCTATAGGCATTATTTAACAGTTGAATACTTGGTAACAGTCTGGGAATTTCTGGTTGGTTAGGATGCCTTATTGTAAATTTGTATAAAGGGTACTTGTGTGTTGTGTATAATTTAGTGTGTTTATTGTCATTGTTAATCAACATATGTTTAACCAAGTGTGCCTGAATTATTAATATTTTCATCAAAACTGTACCAGATGACAAAGAATTCCTGTGCTCACTAATCATACAGATGCAGCCATTCAAAGTGGGCGGTACAGACACGTACCGGAGGTAATTGGCTACGGCCTCGCGCGCTGACGCAAAATACCGCAAAATACCACTGAAGGGAAATCTTAGTAGCTGAGCATAAAAAGAATAGGAGCATACTGTAACGCGTGTGAAGGCCATAAATGATATTAATTTTGGAACATAAACATACAGTATATGGCTGGTCTCGGTACTTTAAAGAAGAAATATACACCAGTATTCCATTTCTCCCTAAACATTTTAAGCATCGAAGTCTTTAACTTACGTGATACTGGAGTCAACAAGCATATTTTTAGAATTTGATTAAAAGGGAATATAATATGGAATCACGTATCTAAAGAAAATAATAACAATATAATTATATTATACACAATAATTGTACAGTACATGCTGTACGGTGTCTGTTGATAATGTTTTGTAGGGCTTTTTCAACACTTTTCACGTGACCTTGCCAGTGGCGCTGTGGGTTAGGTTCCTGACTCCTACGTCAAACGCTGTGTGTTTGAATCCCGCTAGAGCCATGACTTTTTTTTATTAAACATTTCTTTGAAAAAATAAAACTTTTCCCTGGGTCAGAGATTAATTAAAGCCTCACTCGCACCAAACAAATTTATATTTCTAAATATCACAACATGATCGAATTTAAGTCATTTTAATAACAATGAATAGTCACCTATGCGTTACAATATAAACATTTATATTGATTTAAAGCGTGTTTTGATTTAAAGCGTGTTTTGATTTAAATCGTAAACACGTGTTTAAATATATGTGTTTTTGATTCACAATCAGACAAATGCAACATAAATTGATATCTTTGTCTTCTAAGTATCTTAATAAACTTTCAGCATAGATTTCTCCCCGTTTAGACATCGATAAGAAGAGTGCGCAGGAGGCTTGGATGGAGATACAGAAAAACCAACACATGCCCCATGATAAGGCTAAAAAACAAAGAGGAAAGACTCAAACAAGCGCTCCAATGGATTGAACAGTGGGAGGCATTTCAGGATGTACTTTTCAC